GAGCTTTAAATTTCGTACAACTGAAATAACAATTTAAATTTTATATATCTTCCCGCCCTTTTGCGGTTTTAAAGCGTTGACATTTGGCCTTCTAAAATGCCATACGGTTTGGCGTTTGATGCACATAACCTCAAAAATCAGTAGTGTTCACGATGGTAATAACAAAAGAGCATATTCGATTTTCCATCCACTTCGCGTTTCATCTGAAGAAAAATGCTGCTGAAGCCAGTGCAATGATTTGTGCTGCATGGAGAGAACGCTGTAAGTCATACTACATGTAAAAGATGGTATCAAAAACTTCGCCAAGGAGATTTCAGTCTTGAAGATGAACCGCGTGCTGGACGCCCTCGAAAGATTGAAACGGACGAATTGCAAGCACTGCTGGATATAAACTCTGCGCAAACTGAAAAGGAGCTTGCAGAACAGCTTGGCGTTACGCAGCAAACCATTTCCGTAGGTTTACATACGATTGGAAAGATTCAGAAGGAAGGCAGATTGGTTCCGCATGAATTATCCGAAGACAATAAAAATCGTCGGTACTGCACTCACTTTGCTTTCAAAGTTCCGGAAAAAAGATTTTCTGCACAAAATCATTACAGGCGATGAAAAGTAGATTCTTTATGATAATCCTAAACGTAGAAAATCATGGGTTGACTCTGGTCGACCTTCGACATCGACGCCAAAGCCTAATATCCACGCCAAGAAGGTTTTGTTCTGTATCTGGTAGGATTGGAAAGGTGTGTTGTATTACGAGTTGTTACAACCGGGTGAAACAATCACGGCAGACCGCTACCAACAACAATTGACCAATTTGAGCGATGCATTAGAAGAAAAGAGATCATTTACTGGCCAAGGACATCGTAAAGTGATCTTGCTTTATGACAATGCTCGACCACATGTTGCGAAAGCGACTCAGGACCATATCTTTGCGTTAGGCTGGGAACTTCTCCCGCACGCGGCGTATAGCCCAGACATGGCGCCTTCCGATTACTACCTATTCCGGTCGCTGCAGCATCATTTGGCTGATACACATTTTGTGAGATTTAAGGAGATACGAAAATGCATTGATGACTTTATCGCTTCGAAGCCGGTGAGCTTCTATCGTCAAGGAATTCGCAAGCTACCCGAAAGATGGCAAAAGGTCGTTGATGCAAACGGAAAATATTTCGCTGATTAATATTTTTTTGATGTTTTTTTAATGTTTGTTTTTAATAAAGATTGAATTTTACAAAAAAAAGCTCAGAACTTTTTTGTACACCTAATAATTTCTTAGGCTCGCGCAGTCCCACAGTCGATCGCGGGCAGTATCGATTTTGCGGTTTATTGATTAATCAGAGGGACATCATCGTACTAACGTGATTCGCCGCATACCAGCTCGGCACAACATACGTTCTCGGCCGGTGAACGAACGTGACAGCCGGGTGGTGGTGGATTCGGCAATCGCGGGCACACTCGGAGCCGGCATCTCAATGCTCCCTCGGTGCACCGGCACCGCAGGCAGGGCTCGGACGTACCCACAGACGTCCCTTCCTGATATCGGCGACCCTCGTATCTGCATCCTGCAATCGCGAGGTAAATTTCTCTTGTTACGTAACAAA